AGTGAGAGCGAGAGAGGAAAGAAAAGAGAGAGAGAGAGAGAGAGAGAGAGGAGAAGTGGGCGGGGTAGCAAACGCCCCCTTTTGATTCTTTAATATTCAATGAGCTCCAACCAGAGAAGCGGGCAGGCACTAGCACAGGGACAGCAACACGCAGTCCATTCAAATGTAGAGCAGCTGGCATGCCTCACGGAGCCAGCACCACTCCTCCCAGTGCGTGGACACACAGTTGTTTCACTTGCCAGCTTGCTTCTGAACTTTTCACGGCTAAAACGCCATGGACCCGCTATGGACGGACCCCGGCGCTCCGGTACGACATGCAAATACGTACTGTGACGTCGGTGGTCATGTGGCTTTTGGCGTAGATCCTCCTTGTGATCGCCAATTTTTTCTTTCCTGTCGCCTGTTGTCTGCTCGGTTATCGGACCGCCGTGAGAGTGTTTAACGCACAACTGGCCTGTTTGTCGGCTTGGCAGTGTCCAGGGGATCGGCACCGCACTACCTGAGCGTCGCGCCAAAACGGTGGGCAGGTAAGAAATGGACAAACTCTTGGTGTGTTTTTGAAACGCTTCGCTGCGGCTACCCTCCCAAGTCCTTCAACTTAACACTGAATGTAGTGTGTTTGTTTGTGCCGCTTCTCCTCGCTTGCTTTCGCTCCCAAACACCTACACGCCTCCGTCTAAATATTTTAACTTGTTTGGCTGCGTGAACTTTGCCTGGCCCTGTCTTTTACACCTGCGTACGGAGACGGTGCGTCCCCCAAGTTGTTAATTGGGCGTTTTCAGCCCAGTGTTTAAGTTTGACTTCGATACGCGGTGACAGTGGTGTGAGAAAGCAGAGAGGAGAAACATCGCCTTTACTTTCTCTCCTCCCCCTGTCGACATAACCAGCAAAACATGGCCGTCCTTTGCCGACATGTTGTTACGTCGATGGCGAGAGGGGCACATTTGGGGAGAGTGTTTTTCTGCGCCCCTCTGTCACGTCTCCGGTTGGCCGGTGGAAACCACCGGTGAGCTCCGCACCGCCGCCAGTGTAGCCGCTCACGTTGAGCGGTACTGACGTTTGAGCGCAACTTTTGGAGTCCGACCGTGTTTATAGACTTTGATTTGTGCGACTCAGTGATGTAGGCGTAACGTTATCCCTGGTGATGCCTCCTCCCCGCAGAGACCACGGCTCTTACTGCAGGCAGACGGTGCTGTGGCGCCGGAGCTCACTGATGTTCACTGCAGAAGGCCCCTAACTGTATGAAAAGTCACGGTTCGTTTTATTCACAATATGAACTTTGTTTATGAGCCCAGTGCCCCAGACTGCGGTCCTCTGGACTCGGCACACTCAGCTTTAACCAGGGACAGTATGTCCTCAGTGGCCCCAGCAAGATCCTTTGGACGGATAGTGGTTGTATTTAATTGTGTTGCATGATTTGTGTTGTACTTTTCTAAGATAACACTTGTGAAGTATCTGGGAAGAGACGTGTTCCTAAGCACAGCCCACAGGATGAGCATCATAGCGCAGTAAACAGTTCAAGCAAGGACATCCTTGCTCTCAAGATGCAGTTCAGTATCATCTCCTATTCAGGTTTCTAGTCTCTTCCATCTTTATGTCTTATCATTATAAATGACATATACCACACTGTCTCTCAAATGTTCATTATTATTATTTAAATCATTTACTAAAGTTTTACCTAAAGTTACTGTAAACACATTAACTTTGCACTAAGGTGGGTGTCGCATGTCCCCATTATACCAGCAGATATGCTGTGTAAGCCTTGCACAATTTGTCGTGTTGTTTTTTGGGGGATTTGACATTATGTGAGCAGAGTGTATGCCTTCACCAGCAATACCCAGACACAATTGTGCAATACCCTGGGGTGGTGTTGGTGCCATTACTGACCTGAGGGGTATTGACTTGGACCAGTAAACTTTAAGTACAGCTAATGTTTCCATGTTACTATCAAATTCAAAATTGTCTCTATTACATTTATTCAGTCACAGAAGGCTACTGCAGGCATGGTAGTATTCCTGGCCTGACGCTGTTAACTGGCATAAAAAGGACTGCAGTGAGGTCCATGCAGTGAGGTCCATGCAGTGAGGTCTACACATTTTAAATTTGAGAAAATGAGCATGCTGGTATCAGATTGGTATTTAGTGTTGTCAGATAACCAGAGGGTCGGTGCATTCTGCAAACATCCATAAATGTAATATATATTGACCTTTAACTGTGTTCTACATAATGGTTCAATTAGTGCTAAACAGCATACGCACACATACCTGATTAAGACATTTCCAAGAATGGAGACATACAGGGACAGTAACACCAGCTGGCTCCCAGTGCCTGTTACATGTAGATATAGACTCTGTAGGTGTACCTCTTAACATAATGTAGTGTTTGGTTGTGATAAAACGGTTCCAGATTCAGGTTCCCTATGCAGTATTTCGTGCACCTGCTCACTAGTGACAGGTCTACATAATCCGTACAGGTGGGACGGTTAATTGAAAAACATTTAGCGCCTGTTATGGATATTTGTTTTCTAAGTAAAGCTGTCAGCCAGTCGCTGCCTGGTTTCACCTACTTGCAGTATGAGTGATCAAATACTGTTTGTTGTTCATTAGCGGCTGTTCTCTCAGCACCAGGATGACCTGATGTGTTGCATTTCTAAACGTGCTCTGATCAGCCATCCCAACCTCTGTGAAAGATGTAAGTGATTTTGATCACAGAGCAGTTAACCCTCCTGTCATTCCCATTACCAGCAGTCCCTCTGGGTGTAAACCTGGCTTCGCTTGCAAAGCCATGCACTCTTGCTCTTTCCATGTGAAGAGAAATTTGGCTCATGTTTTTGTTCTTCACATGGTTTCTGCTTGTGATCTGCCAAGTCACAGATAATGTTATATAATTTGGATTGACAAGCAGCTTTATAATGGTGGCACGACAATCAAAGGGTTTCTGCTGATAAAAGTAAACCGTCACGTTTCAAATCACATGCGTTTAGCTGCTTGCCGTGTTGTGCAGCCAAGCAGTTTTTGGCTTTAAAAATAGATATGGAATTATTTTATTATTAATCCTTCAAATAAAACAGCGCTTATTTTGAATACTGAATTGTTTTTACAGATTAAATCTGTGTATAGATATGTTTTTTTGGAGGGCGCGGTAGAGATAATTATTCTCAGTATTGCTCGGGGGATTAGAGAAATGCACACATGTCACCTTGTTGTCCATAACATTAACACTTGTCCCATCATTATTACACGGTGGCGGCATTAGGGAAGAACACATGTTAGTAAGGAGGGATTTTACCCTAAAATCATTTGGTTTATTTACAGTAAGGTAGCGGCTATAATCTTTGAAGAAGTTGCATAAAGAACAAATCTAGCCTCATTGAATCCCCTGTTTTTCCAGTCTTGTCCAACCGTGCGGTTGTTCTCCAGCACTGTGGCCTCTTAGAAGGTCACAGCCAAAACATCCAGCTGTGAAGTGATCCTCTCTGTTCGTTCATAGAGGTGTTTATTCGCTTACTGTAGTCAGATGGAAAATCGACAGGACTCAATTTGTCACGTTCATTTAAATAGAAAACCACAGAGCATCAAGTATTTGTGTCAAATTATATCCTGAGAATTTAATAAAAATAAAAAAAATGAAGATGTTTGTGTTTAGCTAGATTTGCTCAGACAGCATGTACACAGTTCCCAAATCAAAGGTGTGGTTTAGATGGTCAAATTTAATGAATTATGTTTTTCAATCAAATCAACCTTCATGTGACATCAAAGCCAGCTTTTACTTATATGGACTGTCAGAGACGAAAGTGCAGTGTAGTCAAATATTATTTGTATAATGGTGAGTGAGATCTGATCATTGGCAGATGTTGCATGTGCCAATCATTGCAAAAGCTAATGAAATTGTCTAGTTCAGTTTGTGACTGTGAACTGGAACTAACCTGGAGCAGAAGATTGACAGTAACATGTTTAAACTGAGGAATTTGTTTGTTTTTGGTTATTCAAAGTGGCCATGTTGCAGTTGGTACATATGGTGTGTGTGTGTGTGTGTGTTTGTGCTGTTAATGTTCTGGGTGTAACTGTTTGAGCCAGGATGGTTCAATCCAAATAGTACTTTCCTCAGTGCTTTATCAAAGGGAGATAATACACAATACTGTGAAGGTTGTACACCCAGAGAAATTATATGAGACATAAGAGTACATGTGTGACTGGGGCGTTACTGTGCTGCTGACAAATATTTTACTTCAAAATCAACTTCAAATGTTGTTTAGAAATCTCTCTAGAAAGTCAGGCCTGTTTATTATTGTTCACATTTGATAATAACCTCATTACTGGGATGCTCATCAATCATAAGTGGCATTTAAACTGAACGCTTATGTAGTTTTCCCACATATGTTAATAATGTCACATCTAACCATTAAAGTTGAAGATGTGACACATACCAAACTGATCCTGTTGACGGCTCTGTATCCTGTTTAGTTTCTCAGCTAAATTTCCATTTGCTAACATTTACAGTTTGACAGACTGACAGGACAAGCTGCTGCTCAGCTCTGAATGGCCTCATTAATGTGACTTAAAGTAGCATGATGTTTATCTAAACGGTCCCAGTTCTAGTTTACTATCTGCTAGCATTAGCAGTCCAGCACTAATCTACAACTACATATCTAGCAGATGTGCACAAGCAACTAGCGTTTTAGTTGCTTGCTGCTCCTTGACCAGCCAGCAGACAGTACAGGCCTGCACGTGCTGGTTTACCACATAACAGCCAACAGCTCATTTTGTAGTTTGGCCAACAGCTTTGATTCTGCCCCAGATTTTTGTGGGGACAGCTGGGCACAGTGAGGTTGTAGTGATGTGGTGGTTTATATTCTTAATGCATTATCACAATATACCACTGACCCATTTCCTCCTTTTTTAACTTTCACTGCATGTGAAGCAAAAGCTTACATTTGTTGGTCCTGTATTTTTGTGCATTTGTTTTGAGCTCACACTTATTTATTCCATGATATATAGCTGTTATTTTTAGAGCGGTGCTAGTTGACCTTCACTTGGTTTCGACATGTTTTTGGTTTTCACATTCATCAGGAACGTCCAGCATTTCCTAACTGCACATCACACTTCCACATCCAACCCAGAGCTGTATAATGGCTCCCCATTCTCTTGGTGAAACACTGGGATGAGTCATCACGGGTTGGAGGACGGAGGTTGTTGTCATCACGGCCTGTCATGCTCAGCTTGGCTCTGTGATGACATCAGCAACATATATGCTGTGCTTTGTTCCAGTGTTTTCGGGTTCAGGCCGTCTTCTGTGTCTCTGCCGGCTTCTCAGACATGTTGTTAGGTGACTAAGGCAACCACAGAGATGAGCTCATCACCTGTAGGTGGGGCTGAGAGGCAGAGCGTGATGGAGGGAAGGAGACAATTAGAGAGGCAGCGCAGAGGAGTTACATAGGGACAGATGGAGGGGGAGCACGAAATCAACACTATATGAAAAAGTGCGTATGATGTCTGAGACATAGTGATACAGAGGAAGGGACAGTTGA